AAGATTAGCACCTGCTGCAAGAGATGACATATTAACCTCTGAAATCCAAGATATTTATTGTTAGCTTTGTCCCCCAAGGAGGGCAAACGGTCAGTGGAATCATAGAATTGTAGGGTTGGAGGGAACCCTGAGGATCATCTAGTAGTTTAATTGTTACAGCAGGAGGGGGAGAAAGCCATGCCTGTTTACCAGTTGGACTCATCTCTGCCTCTCTGCCTCCCTCCTCTCCTGCTTCAGTTTCTGTTCCTGATTCTGGACTTCTCTCTGCAACAGTCTCCCCCTGCTCACTTAAGCCCTGTTGCCTCTTCTGACACCCCCCTTCTCCCTCTGACCACTCATCATGGTCTCGCCTCCAATCCCCTAGCACTGAGCCCTCTTCCCTTAGGGCCATGATGGCCAAACTTGGCCCTCCAGCTGTTTAGGGAGTACAATTCCCATCATCCCTGACACTGGTCCTGCTAGCTAGGTATGATGGGAGTTGTAGTCCTAAAATAGCTGGAGGGCCAAGTTTGGCCATCACTGCCTTAAGGGGTTCCCCAGCTGGTTCCTCCCACCATTCCTCTGAGTCCAACCACTCTGTGACACCTGACTTCTACATTGCAGGTGGCACATAACCTCATAAATTGCTGGCCCTCTCTCCTGGGTTGGCCTCTGAGCCCTGCCAGTCTCTGACACCTGTGTACCAACCTGCTCCTGCAACTCCAGCCTTGTACTACGTTCACACAACAAAGCCCATGCAATCCCAGGGTTATATTGGCCTGTTTGACATAACAAGTGTCTGGTTTACAGAGGGCAACATTCCATCCTGAGGAGTCAGTAACTCTAGTCTATATCTTTTATGGATTCCAGTTTTCTGTTGCTTAAAGTGCAAAGCCCATCATCCACCCCCTCACTCCAATTTCTATTCACTGCCTAATCCTCATTAAGTGTTCTAATTTGGTCTTGGGGATTTTTTCCCAGTTTTTGATCAATCTGCCTAGCAGTGGTGTCAGCTTTAAATTCTCACCTTCCTGGCCTGTCTGATGGTTAGGCAGTTAGTTTCAAATCACACTTTTTAAATACAATAATGGAATTTTCATAGGCTTACTTTGGTGGCTTTTCACAATCCCTACCTCAAGCCACTTCCAAATACTTGTAATTAGCTAAATCCCCACACTCGTGAACTCCTTTCTGTCCATTCCTCATAGTTTATGTGTTAAGATTAGAGGGCATAAGAATTCTTACTTGTTTCCATTTCCTTTTTCTCTCCCTTTCTCCTGATGACTGCAGAAAAGATACAGTTTCATTGCAAGTTTGGAAGGGCCTGGCAAAGCCCAATTTTGAAATGGCACAACCAATTTGAAATGTCTTAAATAAAGATATTGAGGAGATGGATGGCTACAGCATATATGTGCTTTGTTCCATTACTCATAATGGCACAATAAAATGTGTACCCTATTTGCTTTCATGAATTTCAAGTATTTTGATTCATTAATGGTGGTGAACCTATTTTATCTAGGACCCCATTTTCAATTAATGAGTACAAATGCTCATTTGGGGGAGCGAGCACCAATCCACTAGTTTCAAATATTTCCTTTCACAAGCAAAACTCAGCAAACCACTCCTTGTCCCACTGTGTGTATAACAGCTTCTTTGAATCTGGGCAAGGTTTTTCACTGGTTTTCACTCTAAAGACTGTTGCATGCCACACTAAACCTAAGCTTTCCTTGTCTAAACAATGCTAGCCCTAATGTTGAAAGGTTGGCCATCCTTGAAGAAATATATTCACAAATCTTGAAGATGCAGAAGCATCTTGTTTCCCTATGTGCAAAATGAGGACAAAGCTCTGCTGATTAAGCACTGGCTGAAAACCCTGGCTGAATGGAAAGGAGTGGTGGGAGGCACCAGCTGAGGAACCCCCAAGAGAACCTTCAGGGGAAGAAGGCTCAAAGCCAGGGGACTGGTGGTGGGTGGCGATGAGTGGTCAGAGGGAGAAGAGGGGGCGGATGTGGAGGAGGAGGAGGTGTTGAAAGCTGAAGAGGCAACAGGGATTTGTGAGCAGGAGGGAGATGGGGCAGAGAGCAGTCCTCATTCAGAGGTGGGCCAGGAAACAGAAAGGAGTCATGTTACTGAAAAATCCAGGGAGTCCTCCCCTCCTGCTGTGACCAACTTCCCTTTCCTCTGGTCTCCTAGAACACACAGAGAAATGAAAAGAACAGAGGAAAGATTGGTTGCACACAGACACAGTCTCTGATTGCTTGTGGGGGAAATCTGGAGAGGAGGGGACTTGGGCCGCTGTTGGAAGCATAGCTGTCAACTTTTCCCTTTTCTTGCAAGGAATCCTATTCAGAATAAGGGAATTTCCCTTAAAGGGGAAACGTTGACAGCTATGGTTGGAAGGTATGGACCTTTAGTCCTCACAGCTGCTTCATTCCTACTAGGAAGAGTTGCTGTGTTCACTATGCCTGCACTGTTTTGGCTTCTTTGAATAAAGAGTTAACTTCAGTGGTTTTTTTTATTGCTGACCTTCCCCTGATTCTGGCTCCTGACAGCATGGCTCACCTCTCATTTAGGCACACATTGATTGTGAGGAACAAATAAAAAGCTTTTGTGAATTCCTTTCCCACTGCTTTCAGAATGAGACACAGGCCCATGGCAATAAATATGCATGGCAAGTTATTGCCCCACTCTGCGCTCTCTGCCAAATTTTGTGAGCTTAGAACTGCGTCATTTATTAATAAGTACAGGAGTTAATGCATGTTTTTCAAAACCTTTTTTAAAAAAGTTGTCATATTTGTGAAAAATGCCATTACTGCTTTTGAAATTTTGATGTCAAACATGGCATTTTTGACTCCCAAGAATGGCAAACGCTTTGTTTAGTACTTTCAAGTTGACATTCTGTAATTTAGCTTCTACTGTGAATGCTAAATTAAGGAAGACTGCTGTTTTCTAAGCCAATACATTCTCTCGTAAGGTATTGAAACAGTGGATGCTGCAAATCTAAATGACTCCAATTGACCCATCTTTATTGCTGTGAAATTGCAATGTGCTTTGCAGCAATATTTCTTTTATTGAAATGGAATATCTTCTAGGAAGGGATTCCAGCACCACTACCCACCAAAAAATCTTTCCAATGAATTATGATCTATAGTAAAAACAAGTAAAAAGCTGTAAAAGAAGAAAGGTACTAAATTACATTTACAGCTGAATCCTAAACAAGTTTACTTTAGGGCTGCACTTCTGTACATTCCTATCCATATCCACTAAAGCAAGTAATTCCTGTTGGGTTCAATGGTCCTTAGTCCCAGGTAGTGTGTAATACAGGAGTGAGGAACTGAATCCACCAGTATTAGTTTCTAAACATGCACAATGGAAATATCAGGTTCTATCTGTCTGGCATTAACCTGGAAGTAACTGCAAGAGTGGCTAAGTTTTTGTCAATAGTATCTCTTAGAGTGGTGAATGGCACTATTTAGCTGAAAGAAGCTAATGGAAATCCCAGTTATTACATAGTTTACATGGCTGTTTATTTGTATATATTTTAAAATGTTATATATGGATGTTTTATGATGGCCTGTACTTGTGATGCCTAATAAAGGTTTGGCGAAGTATAAGTTTTTCAACAGGCATTACCTTGAGCATCTAATGTTCAATACTCCATGACATCCTGTCATGGAAAACTTAAAATGGTGGCAGGTTTGACCTGGTCAAGTACTTGGCTCCATACAAAAGCTCTCAGGTGCCACTGGGTAAGCTTACTGGATGAAGCTCCCATTCGGTGGCTGGGTGCTGATAATGTTTCTGATTGCATCCTGGGTACTCTTCCCATGCAATATAAAATTTATGAATTTTCAGGGGGTTTTCTGTGACACATACAGTCATTCCCCTGGGGACTGAAAAATCATACGATCCTCATATAAGCATTTTCCACCTTGGATTCCCATTGTGCATACCTCTTCTCTTTCTCCCTCTCTCTCTCTCTCTCTCTCTCTCTCTCTGTGTGTGTGTGTGTGTGTCTTTGTCTTTGTCTTTGTCTGACCTTAAATCTAGACTCTAACTGGGCCTTTTCCAGCCATATTAGACCTGACCAAATGCTTATTTCAAAGAGAGGCAAGATGGATCCCACAGGATTATTGGGCAGAGAAAGAAATATATTTCTTGCCTATCATATTCCCCTGTTCCTCAGCATGGAAATGAATAAACAGACCGCATGAAGCAATGTAATAATATTGCCTCTTCCTTTAGCACAAGCAGGATGCCAAAAGTGAAAAAAGGAGAAAAACAGATATCTATAACCCATTTCCCTAAACTGTTCCATAAGAGAGAGACGGGTGATATCTGCACTGGCAAATAACGTCTCCTTTATAGTACCATATAAATATATATTTTTAACAATGACAGAGTCTTTCCTTGATCCGTTTGCCAATATTTTAGTATTGCTACTATACTTCATAAGCATAAATTGGTTTTTATATATTTGAATTACTTGAGGGAAGATCTGCGCCTGCTGCAGAGTCTTATTTCTCAAGTCGGCAACATTGATTTGATTTTTCTTCCTCTTTGCAGAAATTTCTATATTTTGATAATAGGCTGATATAGCATGACTAACCAACCAGTGCATAAGCCCTGAAATGGAATTAAGCAGAAGGAATGATGGGAAAGTGGTGGTGAAAATATCCTAGGATTGTGAGACTCACAGCCCAGTCCTCTGTAGGCAGATATTTGTAAGTGCCTTTCACGAGGGATGTTGGGAGAATCGAACCAACAGATTCGCTAGTTATGCCTTAAGATCCATGTAAGGCTTCTACAAGAGACCTTTTCATATAGTGAGAATGGTGTAGGCTGGATGTGTGTAACAGGGAGAAAGATTAAATCCACTGTCTCCACTCCTGTCCTACATGCAGTCAATCACTTCAAGTGAACAGAACCATAATGTGCATGCATTAGGGATACTTCCAAAATTCTCCTCAACAAAATTTCTCTCTCAATAGTGGAGTTCTGTATCAGGCCCCATTTGCAGTATATGTTTAGGAGACCCCCTAATCCCCTCAGAGAGCTACAATTCAGAATGTTTTTGACCATCAAAAACTTCTTTGCAGGTTAATCTGGAAATTGTAGCTCTCTGAGGGGATTAGGGGGTCTCCTAATCATTCTCAGCAACAAACCACATTTCCCAGGATTCCTTGGGGGAGCCAGGACTCTTTAAAGTGGTATGATACAGTGGTACCTCAGGTTACAGAAGCTTCAGGTTACAGACTCCACTAACCCAGAAATAGTGCTTCAGGTTAAAAACTTTGCTTCAGGATGAGAACAGAAATTGTGCTCCGGTGGTGCGGCGGCGGCAGGAGGCCCTATTAGCTAAAGTGGTACCTCAGGTTAAGAACAGTTTCAGGTTAAGAACGGACCTCCAAAACGAATTAAGTTCCTAACCCGAGGTACCACTGTCCTGCTTTAAATGTATAGTGCAGATGGGACCTGATTTAATTAATGTGTTAGAAACCATCCGTTATAATATTTTTCTCACTACAGATTTCAGTTCCTTCAGTTCATTATCAATGTGCATGTCTGCATTAACCAAAAAACCTACAAAAACAACATCCTTTATTAGAGATGGGTGAGGTACCTGAAATTCACCTGAGATTAACTCAGAAATTACCAAAAACCTTCCTCACCAGTACCCGCTCCCCACAAATTCTCCTCTTTTCCCTTTCCTTCAGTCAGAAATGGTGGTTGCTCCTCCCACTCAGCTGATCCACTTTGCCACTTCTTAGGTGCTTGTCATGGTAGTGACAGTGACCTCACTTTTCAGTCCTGCTGGATGCCATGGTGACTTTTTACCTTTGAGACCACAGAGTGAGGGCAAGTAGCACTGCTCTGTCTGTCTATCTATCTATTTATCTCTGGACCTCTCATGGAGGAGGCACATGAAGAAGGGCCTCAGATGATGATTGCAGTGTCCAAGTTGGTTCATATGGGGAGAGGTGGTCCTTGAGGTATTGTGGTCCTCAACCATTTTAGGCTTTATAGGTCAAAACCAGCACTTGAATTGGGCCCAGAAACTAATTGGCAGCCAGTGCAGTCAGTTCTGGATTAGCATTATATGCTCAAACTCGCTTGCCCTGGTGAGCAACCTGTTTGTTCAATTCTGCACCAGTTGATGTTTCTGAACCATCTTTAGAGGTAGCCTCCCCACACCCCAAACTCTTGGTTGATAACCTAATCATGTCTATGTGACATTGTCATAGAGGCAAATTAGACTGAGGGCAATGTTTTCTGTCTCTCCCTCCAGCATCTTGTGAGTAAATAAAAAAGGTTAATGGGTTTCATGTTGGGTGTGAGAGACTTCCCTAAGAGGAATAGAAATAAGCAAGATTCCACATAATATACCAGTTTATGTGAATGACTCTTAATATTGTTGAGTTCTATCAATCAGGGCACATAAAAATGAATGTAGATTGTAACATGCTAACACTAAAAAAAAAGCTGACTATTATTTTTATGATTTATAAGTTAGGAATGTTTGTTTATCAGTATTGATCACTGTTTTCAAAAAGACTTTATCTCTGCTTATCTGACTTGCCCACCGCCTGCACTTCAAAATACCTTTTGTTCCGCATCTTATTAGACATTGCTTCATTATACCACCCGAGCAGGCTGAGATGTGCAAGCCATAATGAAATTTTTGCTTTATTCCAACTGCGCCCTGAGTTCTGATGAAGTTTGCTCAGGGAAAACCTCACAAAGAGTTAAAACGTAGGCATTCAACAGCTATGCAGGGAAGCTCTTGAAATATTTAAAACTTAGAGCTGTATGGCAGCTGGTGAAATATCTCGCTGTAAAGCATGTTTAATATTTAGAGACCCTCGGCAGCTTGCTAAATAACTTCATATTATGGCTGTGGGCACACGCTCAAAACCTTCATCAGCAGCAGAGGGCTGCGCACATGCTGTTATGTGCAACAGTCTCTGTGCCTTTGCTTGCCAAACATATAATTGACGGTCATGGTGGATAGCACCAATGGCTGGGGGCAGGGCCAGCCCTACCATTAGACGGGGGGAACCCATCAGGAGGCAGATGCTAGGGGACAGCAACAACAGCCCCCCTGCTAGTCCTACTGAGCCCACCTTGCCATTCCCTTCTGTTGCCACACAGTCTCTCCTTTCACCCAAAACCAACCTGCTGCACTATCCCATCACCACAGTTCAGTCCAGATGGCTTCTGTTTGTGGAATGGGGAATCTGCTTGTGGAATCTTGTCCTTTGCCTCAGATAGCAAACTCTCTTGGACTGGCTCTGCTTGGAGTGTGAGGAGGTTGAATAATAATAATAATAAATTTTTATTTATACCCCGCCCTTCCCGGTTCAAAAACTGGGCTCAGGGCAGCTAAAAACAAATTTAAAACACTTAATTTTAAAAGCAGCATAAAATACAGTATAAAAACACGAATAACAATAAAATTCAAAAATCAATTTAGGGGAAATAAGCATTAGATAATCCCCAGGGCTAGCTGGCTGAATTGGTCCTACTTGGGCCAGCGAGGAGACCAGGGGAGAATTAGCTATGGGGTCTCAGAGCGGGTGATCTTCATGAAAGGGGAGGGGGAAGGGAAGGGAAATAAAAGATCAGGCTAAATTCAAATTAAAGGCCAGGCAGAATAGCTCTGTCTTACAGGCCCAATGGAAGGAGGTTAAATCCTGAAGGGCCCTAGTCTCATGGGACAGAGCATTCCACCAGGTCGGAATCATCACTGAAAAGGCCCTGGCCCTGGTGGAGGTTAGTCTGACTTCCTTAGGGCCTGGGACCTCTATACTATGGTTGTTCATGGACCTTAAGGTCCTCTGCGGGGCATACCAGGAGAGGCAGTCCCGTAGATACAAGGGCCCTAAGCCACAAAGAAGAAGAGGGAGGGTGGTGGATTCAGTCTCCCTACCTCTTCTCAGCTCATAGTCAGCACTGCCAAATCTAATTGAACTGACTGTAAGAAATACTTGGACCTGAGCCAGCAGGATTGGTGCCAAACTCAAAGGAGACCCTTGCGCAGTGCTTCCAATGAGCCCCACTGGTGGACAGGCAGGGCTGACACTTCTGAATGTGAGGCAAGCTTGACAGCCAGCTGTGGTGGTTGCCTGCCAATAAATTAAACAGAATGCTATGTCCCAGCCCATAGATCTATAAAATTTCTATATCTATAGACTGGTACATTGCTTTGAGGGTAAATGAAGATAGAGGGTATGCACTATAGAAGAGAGCTGAACTTTACCCTCATTCAAAATGAGCAGCAGCCCGCTGCTGTGGTGAATGATTGGGTCAGGATGATGAGCCAATACTCAACTTATCTGATCGCTGGTGCCAGGCCTGTGATCCAGAATATGAGGGCTACTTTTTGTAGAGCACTCATTGTCTCAGAAACTGTAATCTTGTTAGAGATCCAATGCAAAATTAGTCAAATGGAACGATTATTTGAACATTGCTTTTCTAAAAATTATTTTTCTGATTAGTCTCTTCCTTTCCAGGTCAACCCCTCTGGTTGCTTAGAGAAGAGTGAAGTCTCTTTTACTATGACATCTTCCCCCCTGTTAGGGGAACTCTTTTTGATTTTCTACCCATCCTCTCACAATGTGAAGAATAAAGGCACTTTAATTACCAACTTCTGTAGAGTGCAAAAGTGGTCATATGGCTCATTAACCTAGTTTTCGATGTAATAAATATCAGGCCAATATATATCAGTAACTGGTGAAGTTTAACAGTGTGCTTTTGTTTTGGAGAAGACCAGAGGGTAATCAGTTCTTCTGGAGCTTTTAATTCAAAGATGTTGCTTTGTTTCCTTCACAAAGCCTGGAGACACAAACACGAAAGCATTGGTGGCCTTAAGGAAACACCTCATGTTTATATCTCACCAAATGTAGATGCAACATATTCAGAATTAATGCACCAGGTAGTGGGGGTTTGTGCAAAATGGATCTGGGGCACATTGGAACCAAGATGAATGCCATAGAAACAAAATGAAGGTTCTGGCATAAATCAATTTGCTTTGATAAAGAGCAGGAAATCTGTATACACAAAGGTTCCCCCCTCCCTTTTCCATACATTTGCACTGTAAGTGTGGATGCCAAAGGGAGGAACCACCCAGAGGGTGAGGATCAAGCAAATAAATCAACAATAGTTGCTGGTGGTGACTTTCCCATACCTAACTGTACAAAAAGAGGAACTGGAAAATCACACCTGAGTTTCTTTTATTCGTCCTTGCATGTATTATTGAAACACAGCCAGTTAACCAGGGGTTCCCTTCATTATTCCTGAGATGCATTGCACATTATCTTGTACTTTGAATTTCATGCAGGGAGGACATGATATTACTAGTATAAATCAAAAGGTGGTTGCTTTTCTTTGGAAAGATATGCTGTGTTCAATAAGCTTTGTGCCTGAAAGATTATGTATGGGGTGGGCTCTCCCCCACAATAAGGATGAAATATGGCCCCTGTTCATTCCATAGTACTCTTTTTTTGCATACGCACTGCAAAGCTAACCAGGTTTACTCCAACGGTAAGCTCTGCTGGGTTTAGGGGGACTTAGTTGATTGATCGTTTATTTAATTTCTATACCACTTAATATAGTGGTACCTCAGGTTAAGTACTTAATTCGTTCCGGAGGCCCATTCTTAACCTGAAACTGTTCTTAACCTGAAGCATCACTTTAGCTAATGGGGCCTCCTGCTGCTGCCGTGCCACCAGAGCACGATTTCTGTTCTCATCCTGAAGCAAAGTTCTTAACCTGAAGCACTATTTCTGGGTTAGCGGAGTCTGTGACTTGAAGCGTATGTAACCTGAAGCGTATGTAACCCGAGGTACCACTGTATATTAAAAATATCTCTAAGCAGTGTAGAAAAACTGAAGCAACAATAGACAATTTAAAACACAATATTACAACAAAACATGGCTACATTAAAAAATAATAATACCTGAATACAAAGTTACTAATATATAAAAATCCGTAACGGGTGATTTTCCTTCTGACACACCCTCCCTGTCAGCCTCCAGTTCTCACCCAGGGTCGAAACAAACTCTCAGCTCATCCACAAAATTCTCACAACGAGAAGAGTTCCTGGAAATAGTGGGTGCCATCCTAGCCTCTCATTCTAGAATTGCTTTTTATG